GTGATTTTCAGCCTCTACCCCAAAGCCTTTAATTTGGATATATCTGAGTGGATTCCAAGTTCAGGAGTTCTCACGGAATCATTAAAGACAAATTTGCAAAATACCATACACCAAACTTTTGCACCTTTTGCCAAAGTTTGGTGATGACAGAGTCCTTCCGTGATGCAGTCATGCAACAAAGTAAAGTATTCCTCACATAAGGATTCTCCTTCAGGAGTATAAATATATATAAAGAATATTTCATCTGCAATTTTTCATCCTTCCTTTCACCTCTGCCTTGAAATGTGTAGCTCACATAAAAACTTTCAGTCTTTGCAAAGGGTTATTTGACAAGTTTAAAAGCCACCTCAAGTCAGACAATCATAGTATGATGATACCAACTCTCCCTTGGGTAAACACTCAAAAAAAGGAGAAGTGGTTTTACCGACTAACATTAACTATCAGAAACCTTGTGGTAACAGTATGTGTTGAAGATACCCAGAATGTGCTTGGTGAAGGCAGTTCACAAATAGAGTACAATAAGGTTTAGCTTTTACTGACTGAATTTTCTTCCATGCACAAAAGCTTTTCCACAGAGTGAGTTAGCACTGCACAGCTGTTTTGATGCTTTCATGGATACGATGAACTTAGTTTCCCTAAACTTCCTCCCCACGCTCCTGCATTTTTCTTTCCTATTCTTGAGCAGAGCATTGAAAAATACTGGCTCTAACCCATTTACATTTCTTTGCTTGCCACATAAAATCATGTTACTGTTTAAAATTGGATTATTTCTTTCCTCAAACATGCTTTATGTTCTTCTCTTTCTTTACATGAGAATGAGAAGGGAAATAATATTCAAAATATCTGTATTTGTTGCCAAACAGTCCAGTGTTACTCTTAAAAGTGTAATTTGGAGCTCTTTTCAGCTGAGCATTCCAAGCAGGTGTTAGGGTTTGGGGTTTTTTTCCATCATATTAGGAAGGGAATGAGCTACAGCTGTAATGCTGTAGAAACAATATATGCTCATTAATATTAAAGACAGGACTTCTGAAGTGTTTCACACTGTTTGCAACACTTTCCATTTTAGCTCAAGCTGGGTTTTTGTCTCCCACATAGTAAGCTGCAAATCTGAATAACATTATAACACAGTTCCTGTCGGCTTTGCAACTACCCTATAACGTTTTACCTCACCTCAGGTTATCCTAGGTGATACCAAAGTTTATCTTTCAGAGGGCAGAGGGTATTCTCAAATAATGACTGCTTGATGCAGATCTTGCATCTTGAGGCTCAGAGTGCTTTGGATGCGGTGGTGTCATAGCAGGGTGCAAAGGATGGATGTGCTGTGAACATACAGAGGAGCAAGTTTCACATTTAACAAGGATCCTCTGAATTTCTGCTCATTTCAAATGCCTGTGTGGATAGCTGGGATTGCCAGCTAAAATATGTAGTCTTCCCTCCTTTGCTAAAAACAGTTGTATTCATTTTCATTTATTGATTCTTTTGAGACGTGTCCTAGGAGCTGAAGGTTCAAGGCAAAATGGGAGGAAAGGAATATATGAGCTACTAACAGACTTATAAAATATTTACTGTGGATTGAGACTATTATCCTGTGATGGAAAATGCTGCCCTAAGCTCTTCTAAGACCACCTTCCATTGAACACATAAAAGATTAGTACTGAAAATATACAAAATTCCAGATAGCAAAGCTAATTATTAGTTTACTGAGTACCAGAATTCAAATGAAGATGGTGGATATACCTCACAGAACTTCAGTAACATGAATGTCCAGTGGTTCTGTTTTATGTCACAAAAGCACAGCCCCTTGTCTCATGATGTCTGCTCCATCCCTGGTGAAACTGAAACATTGAGAAGAAAGAAACTGGAATTTTCAGAAGTAATAAGGTGTTGATTTCATAAGCCTAGGTAATACCTGTGTTTGCAGAAACAAGATTGTGCATTGGTATTTGTATGTAAAAATCAATATCAATATTCTGTATAGGATGCAGAATTACTTTGAATATTAAGAACTGATGGTGGATATGGGAGGATGTATATTGCTGGTAAAATCCAGGGAAAGTTTCCTGTACAGTTCTTTTTATTTTTGCCTCAGAGGGACAAAAGAAGAGATATGTAGTTTTATTTGTTAAATTTCTTGGTGGTATAAGTTAACATTTATTTTAAAAAGTTCCAAGACAAGGAAATTTTTATTGAATTTGCACTGACATAAAATAATTGTGGAGGTTACCTGCTTTTTTAACCTGAAATCTGCATTAATCACAGTTGATCAATTTTACTTTCTTGGAAAATAAAAAAAAAATTCATAAATTGCCTTCCAAAGTCAATTCTGGCTTGCCTTTAACACATCTGGAATGTACCTAAATACCTCAGTCCTGTAAATCACTGGCTCAAACCATAACTACGCTAGTAACTTTCCTACCCTGTGAGCCCAAATGCTGGAGTGGAACATTCTGCTGGTTTTCTGTGTGAAAACAGGGATGCTGCAACATTTAGTTATACAGATTAGAGCCTTTTTCTGTCATATGCACCTTTTGGGCCCAAAGACACAATCTAAGGAATAAGATATTAATCAACTTTTATATATATATACACATACATATACATACATATATATATATATAAACCAGTATAAGGGCCTGTTTTAAATTCTATTATTCACATTTTCTGCAAACCAGAGAGAAAAGAACAGCCTACGTATAGGTATTAAGTGCAGGTATCATGCTCTGCTTTTTTCCCTGAGAAATAAAACATTATCGGCTACAGAATGAATAATCCCTCAGTATAAATCACCTCAATTTACTTCAGTTAAATTGTTCAGATTTTATATCACCATGAAAAAAAATATATAGACTTATTAGGATTCTAATAAAAGGGAATATAAAAGTATAAAAATAGTGTACTGCTACTAGTTTATGTCGTTCTACTCTTTGGATAGGAATCTTAAATTCTGGGCTGAAAGCAGAACTTTTGTTTTTAAGACTCAGTATATGTGCTGAATCTTGAAAAATGAATCTTGAAAGCCTTTAGAAATTGCGGAATTTGAAATCAGGCTTACCTCCCTTCTTAAGAAAATACTTCTGCTTTGGTTATTGGTAGAGGCAAATTTGAAGTCGAGTGACAGTGTTACCTCTGAAGTTACCTCTGAAAATTTCCCACTTTTTTGTGCATTTGCCATTTACTATAATTTAAAAAAAAGATAAAAAAAAGCAATCAGCAGCCATTGCTGTCACACTAGGAGCCATGAAGCCTGCTCAGTGCTAAGCTTCTTTACCTGCTGCTATGTATACTCATATGTCTAAGGGTGGAATCTGGCCACGGGGCATGCACTGACTGATCTGATATGGAAAAAGGGCCAACACAGCACACTGCCTTCCTGCAGCTGCCTGGTGGGACATGGCAGCGATGAGTGCCAGCAGCTGTGAACATGGAAATGTGCCCAGAGCAGCACAGGAGGAGAAAGAGTCTGTTGGGGAAATTCATTGCCTGAGTCCAGTCCAAATTCTCTGCACCAATCTCGTGAGACACAAACTGTGCCAGCGCCTCTTGGAAATGATTCTGAAGAAATATTGCTTGCGATGTTCAACACAGCACCAAGCAGTTTCCATTTACCTACTGTTATTGCTGTTATTACTGAAGAGTGTTGCAGGACACCCTGTTTGATTTGTGAATAATTCCAGATCTCCCTAAAGCTGACTGGCATGCCAGCTGCTCATCTCTCACGGATGAGAATATCCTGTCTTCATATTCCCTGGGAAAGGTCTGGGATAGCAAGGTGTGATGGGAGCTGAGCAGAGCCGAAAAATTAGTATTAGGAGGGTAGAAAGTGATTTTTTGCTGAGCAGTGAGGCAATTTGAAGGTGCTGGTGGATGAAGCGTGAAGTGAAAAGGATTGGAAGATGAGTGCACAGTAAAAGGTGCAGAGCAGCTAAAGCCTTAGGAAGAAAGCAAGACAGAAAGAGTTTCTTGGCAAGGGGAGAATGATGAAAGTAACCATTAGGCACTGTGAACAGAGAAATGTTCTACTTCTTGTGTGTGGGGACAGGACTGTTGGTATTCCCCCAATTACTGAAGTGCTTGTTCATGGAGAACCATACCCGTGTTGGTGAGCAGGCATTACACCCCTCTGCCTCCTGTTCCAGTGGCTTCAGGGTGGAGCTTGTGCCAGGGGAGGCCTGGGTGCCTCTGCTTTGAGCTCTGTGTTGGGGGCTGCACTGAGCAGCCTTTTGCTGGGGATCAGGAAAACACCAAGAGAGTGGAGCTGAAGTGGTGAGGAGGATCTGGATCCCAGAGGCACATATGGGCTTTGTATGCTGGAGCACAGCAGAGCAGCAGGCTCAGGAGAGAGGGAACATAGGAAGAAGAGTTGAAAAAGCGAGGCTGAGGTTTTGTTTCACAGATTAGGAGGGCGTGGGGATGCACTGAGCCACTGATGCACAAAGACCTTGCTTTTCAAAATGAAATATACAGGAGCCACGAGGAATAGCAGTTTTGCTAATGGATGCTGCCTCCTGCTTTTGGTAGAGGGGCTAAGACATGCTTTTGTGATTTCCCCACTTTGCTCCCCCTCCGTCATCCTATGACCTCTTAGTGTATCTGTTTATTTCCAAGACAAGTCTGTGGGATCCCTCTGTTTTGACAGGAGCAGTAAACCAACACCTCTTGCTGTCTCAACACTACTTCCCTAAGGGCTTGGTGGGTTATGAGGTGAAATACATTCTATTTGTATTCTCACAGAGCACCAGAATGTGCAGTAGTGAATAATTTATTTTATTGACATTTTATTTTGCAGAATAGACATTCACACTAGCAACTAGAGAGCCTAGATTATAAGTGGAAAGCATAAACATCCATTGAAATGTATGTCTGAAGAGTGTGATTATTTGAGATCCAGTCATCCTAATATACAGCATAAATGTATGGACATTAAAGCAATTATTAAAAACAGGACATAACACATGAAATTTTCTGAATATCACAGGGATCCAGTCAGAAAAGCAGGGCTTTTGGTTTGGTAGTTATCTGTTCTGTGTCAGACTTTCCTACGTTTGAAGTTCCTGTTCTCTGGGCTGGTAGAGAGCAGGTGGGTGTGATGTTTAAGTGAATGCACAGGATGGGGAGATCCACCAGCACTACTCCACTTCAGCCCTCTCCCTTCTTACTCATGGAGCAGCACTAAGTGCCATCTTGGATGAGACTGTACTTTCTCTGTCAGGGGAATTGTAACTGCATGACAAAGAGAGAGGAGAGCTGTGGGTGTCTTGGCCTGGTAAGGTTTTGCTGGTTATAACTTCCCCTGCTGAAAGAACTCCCACTTCAACAATGATAAAAAAAGGTACTGAACAAAGCTTTCTCTTTCTGAAGCTCTACCTTCCAAAGCAGAGATTGCAAGTACTGCAATATTGGAAATTTATACTAGTGCTGTGGGGGGAAAAAAAAAAATCTCCTTCCAAAGAGACTTTGCCTTCCTCTCTGGAGGTTTCTGTTATCCCTTTGAAGAGCTGTAGCTGGTAGTTGTATTTCGGTCCAGGTCATATGGGTTAGGTGGGAAAGTGGATTTTTACACCACAGTGATAGGTCACCTCAAAAGAAGAAGAAGAATTTGCCCTTAAAGAAGTAAGCTTATAAAACCCAGGGTTGGGAATAAGACTCCCTCTGTATTCACTGTAGAAGTCAATGGTAGGACTGAATATCCCACTGCTGAGTACACCAGTGTATGTGTACTTGTCTTCCACTATTTGAGTCCTGTGCACAAGTCCTGCATAATTGTTCAAAGGTATGAAAAAGCTGTGGGCAGATAATTCGAAGGAGAGGATTTTTTTTCAGAGCTATGGTATCCCAGGGAAAGCAATGACAGAGCAAAGCTAATCTCTCCTTTTAACTCACACTGATTTTCAGAACTGAAAAGCTTTTGCAGAAGACTTCCCTGTGGATTTTCTTCATGGTTTTGCTATGGATCCAGGTTCTATGTTTACACAAGTTTTCTTCTTTCTTTCATATGTGCAATGGACGTTTAATATTTTGTCCCAACTCACTTTGGTCTTGCACTTTTTGTTTTTATTTTTTTCTTTTCTTCTTTCTTTTTTTTTTTTTTTTTTTTTTTTTTTTTTTTTTTTTTTTTTTTTTTTTTTTTTTTTTTTTTTTTTTTTTTTTTTTTTTTTTTTTTTAATTGAAGATTATATTTGGCTAGTGATGTTACTAACTGCTGCCCATTCTGGAAAGGAATTCAGCTGGAAGAGTCGAATTCCCCAGGTGTTAATTGCCACCATGACAACAGCCAGGCCAATCAGATTTACACCCAGGCCAGCTTTCACCTGCAAAAGCAAAATGCATCAGAGCACAATAACTAAATCAAAACCAGTCACCATAGAAAAAAAAAAAAATCAATAGGGTCCATACTGACATATCTCGTCTGGTAAGTTCTCTATAGTGATATCTAGAGCCAAAAAAAGGACAGTGAGTACTATGTATCAAAGTATAGATTGTGGAAGTATTCAGGAGTGATCATCAGACATGGACTATTGGAAAGTTCATTGGAAAACTGCTCAGTTTGTCTCTTGAACTTCTCAATCAGATAATCAGAGTAGGGATTTACACACAGCAGGGTGATACATGACTTACTGTGGAGCTATGTGATAATCTATTTTCTCATGCTTGCTTTGCTTATTGTAACAGGTCAATGCAAAGGATTGGATACTCCTAAAGCTCTTTAGACCATTACATTCATTTGAAAAATAAAGATGATAAATGCATGCATTCTACAGCAGATCTGTGGATGTACTTAACCTGACAGCTCAGTTGCATGGCAGATAAATATTATTTTATATTAGCACCAGTATAATCATTACTGTTCTTGGCTGGTGTTGAAGTTGCATGAAGCGTGGGAGGATATACCCAGTCTCAAGACTCACCATATCTTTAATCTGGCAGTGCCCATAACTGAAGACAATGGCATTTGGAGGATTACCCACTGGCAGCATCACCGCAAAGGAGATACACATGGTGACAGGAATCAGGGTGTATAAAGGGTTGATAAGCAGGGCTTCTGACTGAAAGGAGAGAGGGAGACAGGTGTTTTATCTAATTAATAAAAGCCTCTGCTGATAACTCAGATGAAAGGACCCTCTCCATCAAGATTATGTGAATCTTATCTCCCTAGTTTCTAAATTTAAGTGTGAAACTATTTTTTGCTTGGTTGCTTTTCTTTTTTTAGAGAAATGCTGTAATTTCAAGCTGGTCATGGTCCAGGGATCTCTCTTGGGATACTTTACACTGAGGCAGGATGGGGTTTGCTACTATTAGGCAACCTTTGTTCTTCCACTTGCTCTCTGTGTCATTCTGTATTGTATCTTATGGATCTAACACTTCAGTCTTGATTTAACATGAAGAACTTCTTTCAGTTGCTGAATATACGGGGACAACTCTGTAAAGTCCTCCTGAATGGTGGTTAGAAAAACTAGTTGTTCATGGCCCAAACTTGCATGATGATAAGGCAGTGATGATGGAAGGTTCTCTACAGTGGGCTAAAAGAATTGTTCTGCTGCTCCAGTCTTCAGCAGTGGTGCAATTTTGCATTTTCATTTACACTGATTTGGCCTAGTTTTACGTCAGAGGAAAAGGGAAGGGTATTTCCAAAGCCAACAACATTTCAGGGAGGGAAGTGTTTCTAGGTTACTTTTGCAATCAAAAAAGAGAGACTGCCTTAAGATGGCAGTTCAGACTACTATAAGTAGATTACTGGTATAAACTTTTCTTTAGGAGAGTCTCTTTCTGCATGGAGCAGAAGTAAATCCGAACTCCTAAGCTACACAAATGTAATTAATTATCTTCATCTGACCATATCTTCATATTATCTCAGAGCCATTCACATGCTGTGGAACAGTCCCCTAACCTTGTTATGTCATGGAAAGATGATTAATAACCTGCCTTCTTTATAAGAAAAGCTTCACATTACATAAATTAAAATATATAGGACATTTTCTGTAATTGTTATTCCAGTATAAAATGAAATTATTGTGTCTTTCCTCTGCTTTTGTCAACAGTATCCTGAATTTTTTGCTCTTCCTTACAAACATTTCTGTTTTTCATGTTGGAAGATAGTATGCTTACCAGTTTTCTCCCTTGAACAATTTTAAATCTGAAATAAGATTCAGTACTTTAGCCTTTTAAAAGTAGGGAATAGGTGACTTCTAACTAATGAACAAGACATTTAAAATAATCTTGATAAAATTATCTCAAGTTTTATGTGAAATTCTTGATTGCATCATAACCTTTTCTTGTACTTAGAGTGAACCTTTCCTTGTACTTAGTGCAGGAGCTGTTTTCACTTTGTCTGAGAGGTATTAAATAAATTCCTTGGTGCTAAAATATGCTTTTGGCTGCCCAAGTTTATTATTTTTCCTAATCCAAAGACTACAGAACAGTAGCTTGGGAACTGGGGCTGAGATTCATGTGAACACAGTGCCAATACCCTGACATCCTGAAACATTCCCACAAGCCTCTCAGGAACAACAGACTAAAAATGTCATTGTTTTAACTCACCATGCTGCATAAAATAGGCAGAAAGATGGTTATAGTTGCTGGGTTACTAACAAACTCTGTTACCAGGGATACCAAAATGCAAGCCAGCAGGGTTACAGCCCAGTAGGGAAGGCTGCTCAGGGAGAGCATTTGACGTCCAACCCACGTAGAGAGGCCAGAGGTCTGGGGAAAGGACAGAGACAGAGGCATAAGAATTGCTAAATACTTAGTATGTTTTACAAACAGATTCTTCTCTTTGTGGCAATTTACAACAGAGAGTCCCTCCAACAAATAAACAAAGTTAAGGTCAATGTTTTTTGTATTTACTTTTGTTCAGTAAACTGGATTTCACTGCAGTGCCTAATAAATAGTAAGGAAGAGGTACCTTTGGCAGTTAATAACATTAAAAACATACCAAGGCTGATCTTCCCTCTTTCTTCAGTATGTGAACTGGAGTATAGGAAATTGGTGATGAAGGATTGCACCTTCTGGGTAGAATTAATTTTGAGATTAAGATGCACAGTTGTACTTGTCTACATGTAGGAGTCTGTAGGAGAGCTGAATGTGTATTTAGGAATAATACTCAGTGCAGATATAGTCAGTAGGGCCTCGACTATGGTTTGGCCATTCAGCACAAGGAGTCTCACTCAGGTGCCTAAAGAGGAGCATGCAGTGAGAGCTGAGATGTTTCCCCTCTGTCTGGTTAGCTACTAGTTGAGAAAGTGTGAGATGTCCCTCAGATTCTCTGTCGTGCCTGCTGGCCCTGCAGACATGCCATGAATATCTAGATGTTCTGAAGCACCTGAAATGGCAGATACTTACACAAATGTCTTGAGCTCTGGCCATCTTTTTGTTAGCTAGATATAAGCTGTCCATTAAGTGCAGAGAGGAGGCACTAGATTAAATACAAACTGGGAAGTATCCACATTGTAAATCCAAACTAGGGAGCATGCAAAGGGATAAAAGTCCAGGCTAATGATTCTTTTTGGAAGGAGGATAAAAATCTAAATCAATACCTTGCATCCAGCTGCTAAGGCATAACCTCCTCCAACCAACACTACAATCTCCCAGGGCATGGTCTTCTGGAAGTCCTTCCAGGTAATGATGGGATCCATTGTGTTAATGTCTGTTGACTTTTCACCACCTCCTATATCAAATAAAACAAATGTGTGACCAGTATTATACTGTCCCTTTTCTAAGATCTTCACATTTTTCACACTCCTACGAATAAGTGAATATGCATAGGAATTATCTTGAGAACTGTCTGAGAGAAAGGCAAAGAAGCAGAGCATAGCCTATTTCTCTGGTTAGCCTGGCCTCAGAAAACACAACATATTAACTCCAAATGTCCTGACTTCCCCTTGGCTGCTCTTTTGATGTAAATAGTTGTAAACCCTTGAGTTTCATTTAATAGATTTTTGAGGGACTGTGGGCTCTGTTGTACATGTATATGTACAAATATCTGTAGACTACAAAGGTGGTGTTACAATGAGATTATATTACCAAAGAAGGGCTATGAAGTAGGTCCTGAAGCCCAATAAAGTGCATTTGTGCTCTAGGACATTTTTTTTTTTTTAGGTGCCTGAGTATTTTCTTGAAGGAGGAGTTAAAGTGTCATTTTTTTTCCCTGAAACCTGTATTATATATGAAAGTATATATATATATATATATATATATATATATATATATATATATATATATACATTTGTAATGTCTCTATAAGGCTCTAACAGACAATTCTATTTTCACAGAAAAATAGTGCTTCAGCACTGCTGAAAACCTGGCACATCAAGCTGATCACTACCACTGAGTGCTACCCAAATGTGAATGTGAAATCACAATCATTATTATTATCAAGAAGACTATGAGAGAAGTGTTGGACAATGTTGGAACACTGTATGGCACTTTCTGACCTCTTTTATGTTTATCTTATGACTTTATCAGTGATTTCTGATGTATAAGTGATGACCAATTTCTTTACTGGTGCTTTATCTTCAGCTGATTTTGCGCTACAGTGCTTTAATATAAAACTCCATCTGAACCAATCCTAAAGCTCAGTCCTAAATTTTAATAATTCCACTAGCACAGAACAGGTGGCAGTCTCAGATATAAAACCTATTTGTTATCCTTTGAATGAGACAATATGAATTATAGCAAAGGAAAAGGAGGTCTGATGTTGGAAGGGCTGGTATCAGAGGAGAAACTAAACACTGACCTGCCAACATAAAAGTCTCTTCTTAGAAATTTTTACAGAAAACATAAAGTGTCATTAAAGAAAATGGAAAATGTGCCAGCTTTCTTCCTTGCTGGATCCTCCTCACCTTTTTCCCTTTTCCAAAAACATGGCTTTTTTGCTGGAATCAGGAAAAGGAGAAAACCAAGAAATAGAGAGACAGTGGCATCAGTCCGGTAACCTTTCCTAGGAAGGAAACAGCGAGGTTGTCATGAAAACACATTAACAGAAACATTTCTAAACAAGATAAAAGCTCCAAGCACATTTTTGCAGGTTTAGTTTCATTTCCACGTCTGAAGTCATACTAACAGCCCACCAGAAAAATATGTCTGCATATTAAGGATACAAATTGGATTTTTTTTCCCTGTTTAATAAACTGACTCCTGTAGCCAACTTCAATCATAAACAATTTTTAAAATTCAGGTGGGGAAAAAAAAATTCCTTTTGCTTTAAAAATCTATTAACTTGGAGGTACAGAAATATAGTGTGCTTACTAGAAGCAAGAAACAGTAAACACATTCTGGGGAAAAGCCAAATCCAAGTGATCTTTTAGAAATGGACTGTAGATGCATTTGAAATTAAATGTCTAAAATTCTTTCTGAAAAAAATATTTTGAGGAGTGCCAAACTCTAGTGATCTTCAAAAAACCCCAGTATTAGAAATTGGTTTTTTGTCAAAATTAGAATGAATTTTATACAGTAAAAACATAAAGAAAATTTAAGTTCAAATCACTTGTTTTTTCATGTGCAATGTGTGTTCTAGTAACTTTTAATGTAAATTGTTTCAATATTATTTAAAATAAAAGAAAAATTATTTGCTTAGTCACCATTCTCTGTACTATTTAATTTCATGGACATTTTCTTGATAAACACTTTTTTCAAAAATTTTAATTATAGTTGAATCTATTGCAGTGAAACTTCTCTATGAATGCACTAAAATGCTTTAAGCTCAAAATCCAGCCCTCTGTCAGGGGTGGACCAGAAGAGACCTACAGAGAGTGGAGAGAGATGCAAAAGAGCTGCAAGGAAGGCTCAGAAGAAGAGATCTATCTAAAAGTCTTCTAGCACCTGCAGCTGCGCAGAACCGCCTGGGAACCAGCTACAAGGCCACAGCCTTGCAGCCTCTGCAGATTCCCCTGTCTGTGCCCCCAGGCCACTCCTTCCATTCCTCTCTAGTTCTCCCTTCCCCCTGAGTGACCAGACATATTCCCTACAACCTATCCCTCCAAAAGCCGTTATCACTAACACTTGGGATTTGATGTTTCCTAGCAAGAAACCCTCCTCTGTTCCCAAACCTTCTGTATTCCCCTGTATATAAACTGTCTTCTTGTTTTAATAAACGCCATTTTGTGGGTCACTTATCCGTGTGATCAATTCCCCATACAAAATGTGCCACTGGGTCTGTCGCGGGACAAACCTCCATCTGCGATAGCCCTCTTCTTCTATTACACTTGAAATGTGTTTAATTTACTTCCTCTATTTAATTCAATCTCTACAGCAAGAAAGAATAGAACTTGCCTCTATATGAACAGATATAGTTTAAAAAGTAAAAATCCTAATTGGCTGATAATGTCTTGAGGCCAAGAATTATTGTAGAAAGTCAGAAGCAAAGCCATATTCCTGTGCAGTTGTTTAGGGAATTTTACTTACTTCTCAAAAAAAGATGACCATCCTGGTACAAAGCCAGGCTCACGAGTAAACCAAAGCAAGGTCATCAGAATGAAGAAGAATCCAGTCACCATCTCAGGATAGCTAGAAATAAAAGGAAAAAAAACTCAACAAACAAACCCAAGGACAAGTTCCAGAAGAAGTAGGAAAGTAGAAACTGCCTTCAAAAAAGGATAAAAACATATGGAAAATAATAAGGAAGGTTAGTTTGCATTAAAGAATTCTAGATTTGGCTCCCAAATGAGAACCATTTAAACCCAGTAAAAAACAGGATAAGAATATCCATCTATATTTGCAATTCAATCATTCATGGGCAAGACCTGGAGGAAAATATTCCTAAATGCTTGTTTTGTGTTTGCATTATTATCTGATTAAATGTGTTCGCAAGGTAAAGCTCATATTAGCATTCCACTGTAAACACATTCTCGACATTTTTTACACGTGTAGAAAGCCTAGGAGCAAAAGACAATGTAAATTAGCACAGATGGTGCACACAAGGTGACTTGAGGATACTTGAGGTGACCTGAGGATTTTTAATTTAGCATAGATTTAAATTAAGTATTATTTCATGTTTGGAAACAGTCTGAACAACAGTCTAGTTTCAGAGTCCATGTATTCAGCCAGTTTACCTGCCAATATTTCAACTGAACAGCACAGAAATGTTTTGAGAAGAAGGGATTTTGTGATGGATTATCCCTTTTGAAAAATGAAACTCTTGTGAAATAATCTTTCCAAGAGACATTTCTTGCAGTCATGCATAAACATTACTGGCAGATGTAAGGGCTGGACAAGTCATGGCATGGGGTAAAGCCTTTGCTGAACTTCAAGGCTCAAAATAAGTATGTGCCTGAATTGAGAAGGGGGGTCCTTCAATGACTGTTCAAAAGTAGAGACAAACCTTGAATGAGATGACCTTCGAACCCTGATATAAACTTGAATCTTTTATGTCCTTTTTCATCAGACATAAATAAATTATTAAATGCACCCATGCTTGTAACAAAGTATTTGATTTTATTAATTTTTGCATTTAGTTCCTCTCCTGGAAGTAAAGAAAACTGGTTGATAGTTTTAGACTAAGCTACATGAGCCAAATGCAACATGGAGGGCAGCAGGTAAGGATGGTTCTGCCTAGAGAGGCAAATTCCTGAGGAAAGCAAGTCTGGTTTACCTAACATTTCCCAGTTTCTTGTATTCTTCTTGAATTCTTCTTTCTGACATTTCTTCACGTTTGGTCTTCTTCTTTTTGCTCACAGAACAGGTCTCCTTAAAACTGAAGCACATTGCACATTAAAATTAGACAAGGGCATAAAGTGGAACAAAAAAAAGTAATTAAAAAACAAAACCAAACAAACAAAACCAAACAAAACAAACCAAAACAAAATGGAAAAAAAAAATACCACAAAAAAACCAAAACAAAAGCAGCAATGAGGTAAACTGAAAATTATGATACCAAAGATGGTTGAGGATCAAGAGTGGGTCAAGGTCTGATGCCAAGGTGAAGGGAATCTACTGTATGTGATCTTTGATTATTCTGGTTTCAAGTTCTTCTGAGATTCAATTCTACACATAGTTGGAAGGTCCCCAGGGTGCTCTGACTCATAGTGACTGGTGTCACTGAGCCTTCTTGAGCCATGGCTGAGCTCCCTTTGTGGAGGCTTCCTCAAAGAGCTGGTGGTGGCCAAATATTTCTGGTGCCAGAAACCTCCAAGCCATGGCTGATTTCTATCATCACATGGAAAGATTGTGACAGAGGCCAGCTATCAACAGAAATTTTTCACTGGGTAACTATGCTTTCCAGTTGGATCACGGGTATCTGACATATTTGGGGTCTGGTCTGGCTTTTGAGACCATATTTGACTTGAATGTTCAGGATTCACAGAAAAAAATGAGGGAAAATTGTGCTTTAGGATCCCATAACTTTCCATGACTGTCTGCTTCTGCTAATACTAGCTGTTTCTAAACCAGGCACAGCCAGATCAGGATCATATTGCCTCTGTCACAAGGCTAAGGCAGTCAGGCTGGCATTTTGTCCTGGAAAAAACACTTGTATTTCTGACAGAGGCATGAAAACACAAGCACATTTCATAACTGGATATATTCATCCTGCTATACGTTTGTATGAATGTTAGTTTATTCAGTTTGCTTTCCTCCTGTAACAAAGCATGGACATTACTAATTGAAATTAGGACACTTGCAAGCTCACTTTAACACTTTCCTTTTATTCATTCCAATAGCATTACTTTGCTGTCCTTTGAGCCACAAATCTTTGGTCACAGAGAGTGTGTATGGGGGTGGTCTAAGACAGTCTAAAAGAAGCAACAGCGGTAGGAACTTCTATAATTCTTTTAGATGTTAATGGGTACTTTTACAGTTCCTGCTATCTTGTTTGGTCTCTATTGCACTAGAGACCCAAGCGGTAGCAGTGGACAAATCGTGGACTGCAATCTCTCTTCATGTATCTGGTTAAGGCCAGATTCTCAAAGGAATTTGTGTAGCTCAAGCTCCAGACAGGCCCTGTCTGTTTAACAAAAAGACTTAACCAAGCTCTTTGTTTCACATGGGCACTTTTTTTAAAGCTCATTTAGCACTGCCCTGCACCTATAAGTACTTTAAATTTCCTTATAAGCCTTGCTGTTAGACTCCAGCAAAATCCACCAGCAGTAATGCAGAGGCTGAAAGAGAAGGGCTATATGGTTTATAGTGGCCAGTTCCACAGTAATGATTCTACCCTTAGCTCTGCTTTGTTGGTAAACATCTCTTGATGGGTCCATTCTCTTTCACTGTTGACCTAGCCTTGTATGACATGCTAAAACCAAGTCTGACATGTTATTCCAGCTGGATCAAGTAAGAATAGACTGATGACACTTAACTTCCTAGGAAAATAATATGAAAATTGCAGGAATTGATTAAACATTTATGCACAAGCATTAGGCAGCTGTTTCAACATGTTTCAAATGTTTCCAGGCTTAGGAGGATGTGAAGGTAGAGTATTGTAGCCCAGCTCTGAACATAATATGTTCTTTAATGAACTGTAGTGAATAGCAGTCAGAGATTAAGGAGGCTTAGAATCAACTAGTACTTCTTAAAAAGTCGATAATGCTTCAGTCTCTGGTATTATTTAGAACAACATTAATCAGCATGAGGTCTTGGATGCAATGTGGAATTTCAATTATACTTTAAAATACAAAAAGTAATTGAGGGTCATGTTAGGACCTGTTTCTTCTCAAGATTAAAAAAAAGGGGGGGCTATTATTAGCCTTTTAATTTGGAACTACAGGACTCAGGAGACTGACTGAAAGGGGCATGGAGCCATTCACCTCTAAATTACTTCTTCAAATCTAGTCAAGGTCAGCAACAAACAGAAGTCATTATCAATGTATTCATTGTCTTAGGTGAAATAGTGATGTCAGTTCAGTTTACTTTTAAGAGTAGACTAAATCAAATTAGGTCACTTTAATTCTGAGTAAGTGTGTCTGCATCACAATTTAATGCTGATTAACTAATCCACTTTAAATGCACACATTTAGGTAATTTTCATTAACTTTGCTGAGTACCTGTGTAAAGACAATAGGTGGTACAAATAAACTAGAAGACTGAGCCTTTTTCTTGTTCTGAGGCTTTGGGACTTGCTAGTTTTAAATGTTTTTGTCTCTTAGGCTCTGAGTCTTTTCTGCTTTAAAGATAAATATATATGGAATATATTTACATTTAATTTAAACTGATCTTACACTAATTTCATTGATCTGGGGAGAGATCTGAAAAGTAGCTTGCACAATTGCAGTTGTTTTTCTATTCATCTTTTAAGTTGTGCTTTTCCAAAAGGACTCTTAAGAACATATTTGGTCCACAAGGGAATCCTCTTTGTCATAAGAGTAAAAAAAAAAAAAAAAACAACCAAACACAAAACATTTGAATGCTTAATAAGGATGTCTATCAGCAATACCTAGGCACTTCACTCTCGAGCAGCAATACTGTATAGTGCTGTCTATGCAGCACAGCTAAGCAGTAAGATTTCCTCTGGTAATTGTTCTGGCAAAAAGAAGAAGAAAATTGTGCCTGAAATTTTGTCATTTGCCAGTGAAAGCAACTTTATGAGATTTGTTCTAGAGGACTGCAGATATCTTGCTTTCACAGTCCATGCATCTTGAACAAATTTCACTCACTTGCAACCCAAGAACAGCCAATGCATCCAGAACCAAGTCAGCACCAGCATGATGAGGGAGATGGGGAAACTGAATAAAAACCAGGTTCCAAAATTCACCACTTCAGCATTGGGGTATTGACTGTAGAGAAAAAAAGAAGTTAGAACACTAAAAGTATCTCTAATATGCCTAGTTACACACACATATATATGTATCTATATTTGTCATGTCATGATACAAAGATTCCATCAGTATGCATTTGCAACAGCTGCATTACATACGCATAGTGAAAATAATTGCCAAAAAATGTCAATCATTGACCTCCTCTGACCAATGGATGAGCCACAGAGCACTTCAAACCTTTAAAAATGCCAGATGGCCTGGATTGTCTAGTACTACTAACAGCAGTGAAATTCTGTCCCTACTTACGGTTTATATCAAAGCTCATTTTAGTGTTGGCAAACTTTAGAATGATTACACCCATAACCGCTGTGTATGTCTCCTCATGGACCACACAAATGATGACTGCATTCTGCTGGGCTCTGGCAAAGGTGTTTGATGTGTGCATTTGATGCAACTGTCATAAAAGCAAGATCTTTGGAAATTCTGTAAAATCCAAATCCTTGCAATGAGCATGACTTCTGAACTTTGCTACCACCACTTCAGAGAGAGACATGAAGGACGTCATGGCAGTAGAGGTAGCAGTAGATAACCAGAATCGGTCTGAGCTTGGATGCAGATCGGTCCATGGGTAGAAGTACCACCAGTCTTCTGACAGAAAAACATTAATGTCTTTGCCAATGAAACATTCATGTCTTTGAGAGTCCTGGGCATATGATAGAGGAAATATTTAGATCTTGAAGACCTGCTTCTCTTCTTCTCTGAAGTAAATTTTTGCACTATATGTTGAGCAGCCCAAGTACCACTAGTGATGCCTTTAGATTCACTGTAAGAACTCACTTTCTGAGAACCCAGAGAACAACTCAAAGCTGATTGTATGACATTTCTTCTTATGTGAGTATTTCTTTGTCTTCCTTGCTATGTCTTCATGGCGTTAGTGTTTGCTTTTCCAGAGGGTCTGCTGCCTTCATGATGATCAGCTTTTCAAATCAAAAGAAGTTGCAGGAAAAAACCTAAATGTTACCACATAGTAAGGGATTTTTATTTGGCATGAGAGAAAGATACAGATATGTGTTAACTTAAACTTCCCCTTTCAAACATTAACCATTAGTAATAACATTAGAGGAGGCAGCAAATTTTTCTTCAGAGAGACTGTCTTAGGAGGGTTCCTTGAGGTAGTAAAAACCCATGGGGAACACCGCCCACCATTCTCACGAAATCACAGTATCACTTACTTATTGAAGTGCTCTAAGAATATGAGGCTGGTGGAGGTCCCTATGATGGTTGTCAGTCCCCCAATGGTTGCTGCATAGGAGATGCTCAGTGAGAGGCATTTACAGACCATGTGGTCGTGTCTGGTTTGATACCGGTACTTAGTAGTCAGGCCTAGATCTGAGGGTTCAGGAGGAAGGACCAGGATCTGAGCCTGTGAAGGGATAGTAGATACAGACAGTAGATGATCAGAATGGCAGCACAACTTACTCTAATGCCATAGTGATACAGATTTGTATAAGAGAAATAGGTTTGTATAAGAGAAGGCAGTTTTTTTCTTCACAAGGCTTAACTGGGGTCAGACCTGGAAACATGTCCAGGGGCCTGAAATTGCCTCATCAGTGGCAGAAATGTAGGACAAACAGTAATTGGACTTCTGGCTAAGGTTTGAGCCAACTCCGGCTCTGACTGGAATACCAGTGGGATATAAAAAGCCCTTAAAGGCTGCAGGGATGGGATGCCAGCACTGCAGGAGTAGCAATCCATAATCCTTGAGACTTATGAGGAGCCACCAGATAAAGGCTTGGTGAACATTTTGCACTTACGAGCTCAGGGCTTCTAATTTGGAATGGAGTGCTAGGGGTCACAACCCTAGGCATGAAAAAGGCTGGGCAGTGAGAATGTGGAAGAAAAACATGCCAGAAAATTTTGCTCCAGAAGCAACTTCCTCATCAGTAACGGGAAACTATCTATTTTGGTAAATCAAGTTGTAGTGGGAAGAAAGGTACAATACTTCCAGGCATGTTATATGCAAGCCAGGGCTGTAATTTAGGGATGAGGAAAAAGGCAGAAAGTGGTTTAGATAGATTTTTATCTTGGCTTATCTAGTAAAATCAGTCATACTATAGGTTCATCATCATTGTGAGGATAAAAATTACTAAAATCCTGTAGGTTAAAAGTGAAATGAGTATATTAGTTAAAAATAAGAATTGGACATTTATTAATATGGGTGTAAGAGAAAATTAAGTATTGGGACCAGTGCATTTTGGAAACATACACTTAGATTTTTTTTTGAACTGTGAATATAAATCCATGTGTTGATTTTAGCAATTCAATCTTGGCCATCAATCCAAACAGCAATCTCTTCTTGGATCCACTCAAGAGAAGTAGAAATACTGTAATGGACTGATTTGATGAAGGATTTTGAGGGTGGATATTTTGGAAGACAAAAAGGAGGTGGATACTAAGACTACATAACAAACTGACGGAACAGATTAATGGTCCATACCTGCTGCTGTTTTCATTCTGAGTAGAATTTTATGTGTCAGGGATTATTATTTTTGAGTTTAGCTATTTTACAAGGAGGATTTGCAGAAACAAAGTGGCTAGTACAGTCAAATAATAAGGGAAACTCGGGATCACATTAATGAATGTAAAGCTAAATTAATTGTCCCAGCTATTGGAGGAGGGTCTTCTGAACATATCTGTGCTCAGCGTATCTAAATGGGAGCAAGAACTAGCAAAGGACCAAACCAGAGCTGAGGAAAGATGATGGAGAATGATTCCATGTATACAACTTACAAGGAATAAATATGAAACAGTGGAGAGCAGGTGATATTCACATCTGAGTTTTACCTCACACCCCAAGTCCAACACTTCCTTACCTGGGGTAGGTGCTGCCCATTGCTCTGAGAATTCATTGTGCCAGTAGGGTTGGCTATCATGTGCATACCATTCATACTCTGTAAGGAGACAAATACCTTTAAATTAGCCTTTCTTATGTTCCATGGGGCACTTAGAAAAGAATTTATGATGCTTCCTAAAGGTCATTGGTAGTAGGCTTTGGAGAAAAAAAAAAAAAAAATTTGAAACTACAACAACAAAATCCAACCCACTAAAAGATCAGATGTAAATTTTACACTGGAAAAGAAAAAAAATAATAAAAAAAACCAACCAAACATAACCCTTTTTATTTTAAAGTGATCCTAAAATCAGATTAGAGTGAGATTGGGTCTTCTTCCTCTGTCATGTAGGAGAATCTAACAAGTCCCTTGCTAGAGGCTATGACTTTGTCATATGTGTAGTCTGTTCTAGTAACAGAGATGTCTCAGCTGATAAAGCTGGAAATACCCAGACAATAAAAGATCATATCTGAATTTGTTAGAAAACATATGGAATTGTTAGTTTACTGACTGGATCTCAGGATCTCCAGCAATAAGTACGATAAACTTATATTGTTATGTGCTTATTTTGTTATTGTCATGGAGCTAATGTTCCCCAACTTGATTAGGACAAGCAGGCCGATAGGTTAAATACAAAGCAGGACATTCTGCAATAAATACTCTCTGCCAACAACCAACTCTTATTTGAAATAAACAGGTTTTTTTGAGAGCTATGTGGATTCTGCTCTGATGGTTCCTGGATTAGAAGATAATGTAGCTCAGAAGATACTACCTATCACAATACCTTTGAGTGCATCAAGGAGCTGAAGTCAGTAGTAGTAGCACTAAAAACAAAGAAAGGAAAATATACTTTATAAATTCCTGTTCACCCAGCTCCTTCGAAAGGCACACATCATGGGTAGGAGGGGCAACCTCTGCAGGAGAACTAGTGCCTATTTAATGGTGAATACCATTTATTAGAACCTCTTATGTGGTCTCTTGGCCACATATGTCAGAGTCATCATTGTGTTTCACAGCTCCACCTCTAGCCATGTAGCAATGGTGTTCCACCTCCATGCAAGAAAATATTTGTGTCCTTTGTATTATATATACCCCATTCTAGAAGAGGACTCAATTCACAGTGGAGTTAACCACCAGGTAATCCAGCACTACTACTGTCTATTCTAGTCAAGTTCTTCCTCTGCCAACTTTTTGGCACGTGGACCATGAAAACAATCCTTAATTCCAGAAGATGTGCTACTTTTCCTGCCAAATTTCAAGCTTTTTTTCAAGTAATACTATTTTAACAATAGTTCTTTTTGAAATATCCAACATGTACTCTTCAACAGGGCTTAAAGGGATTAATGGCACAATGCCAAACTGAAAATTTAGTTCTGTGTTGTGCACAAAATGTGGCTGGGATATAAAAGAGATAACAGAGGGAATATTGGAGAACCCAATAGTCTCTAGACTACTGAGATAACTGTTCGGACCTTGCAAGTTAACTTGAAGTCATCAACCTATGCTGTTTGAATGATAATGTTTGTTTTAAAATAAATTAAAATTTAAAGTAAGAGAAATAAGAACTTGTTTCTCTTTTATTAGGAACAGTTGTGAACATTATAAAAGGAGCTCCAGGAGGGACTGAGCAATTATTTTCTCACACTTCATAAGAAGATGCTCCTCAGGATTTACCCTATAATACATTTCTACGATATCAGCTTTGTGTATTCCCTTGTGTATCTTGAACTGATGATTAATTTGATAATTTGGCAAAGAAATTAGTCCATTGCTTGGTTTACCCTTTTCATCTTACTAGATTCTACCTGAAATAGTGACCTGGTTGAAACTGTCAGTGTTTCAAACCTCCAAAAAAATTTGTCTATATTTAAAGAAATCTTTTAAAAATTTTTTGGGGGAGAAAGATTATTTTTCTGTTGGTTCTCTCTCCCATCATTGCCCCACCTCCCTCCCCTCCCACTCTCTTAAATGCAGACAGTTCAGACTTCCTTCAGGAATGCTCTGTAAGTGATTTCCCTATGGATATGTCCTGTGGTCACTCCATATGTATTTGGATCCTCTCCATCACTGTTCCTTAAGGGGAACAGAAATAAAAGTCTGTGGACAGCACTCTCTTACACAGCAAAAAACCACATACTTCAAAAGAGCTTTCAAACCCCAAGAAACATTTTCCTTCTCCCTAAAATGTTCACGATGTTAAAAAAGAATAATGAATACTGCGAAGCTTTAGTGAGATCCAGACCATTACATTAATCCCATTTATCATGTAAGCCTTCCTTGTCAGTCACATGCGAAACATTCCCTTGTAAGCTTCTGCTTGCCCTTCCTGGCTCTACTCCTGGGCTCCTCTCATTGCAACCTGTGTAGGGCTCAAATCTCCAGTCCTGATGTACAGGGTTCATTCTTACTCCTCATTGATGAAGATAAGCTCCAGTGAAGGTTGGCCATGCTTTTCGCTGAGACCTGCAACAAAGGAAGAGAAAGCAGCCCTTGGGGTAAGAACTGAGCTGAGCCCCTGGATCACACCACTGGACCTGGAGAGGCTGCTGCAAACAAAAAGCTTGTCCAAACCATCTCAAGTGCTCTCTCTTTATACAGCATTTTATTATTTTGTATTGTACTGATCATGTGCCTCTGGCAATTACAAGTCTATAATGCCCTACACATAATAGACAAGGTTGGATGAAATAATTTTCAGCCTGGAAACTGTAAACTGAAAGAAAGGAGATATTTTTTTTCTTCCTAAATTCTTTCTTTCTGGGAAGGAATGAACAAAATGAACTTTAGAGCCCTTATCAATTTTTTATTTTGGGATTGTCAAAGAGAACACTTTTGGACCTCTTCTAAATTTCCTGAATTTTGTCCTCAGGGGTTTCCTTCCAACTCTGTAAAATCACATGATCTAAGAGTTTATGACACACAAACTCCAGTAGATGCCTTAATTCATTATAAATAGTTTTCCAACTCCAATTCTACCATCACATCTTAAAACTTTTTTTCATTTTTTGAAAGGAATGTCAGAGTACAAAAGGAAAGAGTATAGATCAGTGTCTTTGACAGTATAAGTCAGACAGATCTGACCTTGACAGGATTTGAATAACATGTATCAACAAGTTTGGTCACTACTACACAAATGAGCAAAGAATGACCAACATTGACAAATACCTATTGGCTTCTTTTCTTCAGTAATGGTGCTGCCTTCAGTACTGATGACCTCACACTCCTCCTCAGCATTCACCAGCTCCTGGAGCACTGCCTCCACAATTGGCATCACCATGGCTGTGGTGGATGTGTTGGAAAGCCACATGGAGAGCACCGTGGTGCAACACATAAAGCAAAGAAGCAACCTGGAGTGCAATATAGGGAAATCCAAGGAGTTAGAGGTGGCAGAAAGAGGATGAGAAAATGTGTAAGCTTTCAAACTCTGAAAAGAAAGATGGATACGGAAAAAGAACCCCAAACCAAGCTAGCTTGCGCCCATGGATGGGAAAATCAGAGTAGTTTAGAGCTGCTGCTGTCAGGCTTAGACTACCCCAAAGTCAGAGGTTCACTCACATGCCGGGCTTGGCTCCAGCCATCATGACCATGCGCAGGGCAATTCGCTTGTGGAGATTCCACTTTTCTACAGAAGCTGCCACACAAATCACACCCATGAGGAGCAAAGTTGTGTTCTTGAAATATTCAGCAGCCACCTTTATTAAGGGCCAAGGGGAAGCAGTCAGTTAAAAAAGCAGTAACTGCAGTACACAGAAAGCACGCTGAATGAGAAGTAATGTGGTATCGCACGCTTTTGGTCCCCAGAGAGTAAGAATGACAGGGAGCTGGAGAACATGAAGAACTCATAAGTCAAAATATCCTCTTTAATCTATTTTGTGTTGTGTTTATGAATAACAAGGATCTATACCCAATTGTTTTTAGGCTTCTCAGTTTTGAAGAGGTCAAGAGAAATGTTACTTTTTTGGGTAGGATGTTCAGTGCCTGCAGTTAATCTGTCATACTCAGCTAGGCTCACACAGAAACAGTCACAGACAAAACTCTGCACTGAAGGCAGCTTATTCATGTGCTTCAACTGCTTTTTCATTCTGGAGATATAGTTGTCTATCTTGTTTATATTTATTCTGTCTTGTTCAACTTCTGGGTGAAATGTGGTATCCCTAGAACCTACAGCTTAAGAAAAAGAGTCCTGTGGGACAGGCTCTTTGAATGCAATTAAGAAAGGTTTTTATACTGCTGCAGTGATCCACAAATCCTGTGCCAAAACTTTTCACATTGGAAATCTATCTCCATTTTATCAGGAAAATAGGGAAAAGTTTCAAGAAACAGAACTTCAGTTTAAAGAGAGTGAGCAAAAACCATCAAAATGGGAGTAAATTTACAAACAGGTGCTTGAATCCTAACTAAACTTTTAATTTCATTCTGATGCAATCCTTCTTAAGCTGTTGCTGGAATACTTTTCCAAACCCATAATTTCTTCAGTTTAAAACTATTCCTCTAACCAAATGTAGGTGCCAGCATTTTAAAACAATTAAGATCAGAGGAAACATTGTCCTCGGCAAGACTGACACTCCTTCATAAAAGTGCAAGAATGACACCAATGTTATTCTGTGAAATCTGCAACAACTTATGTATTGAATTACTTTTATTTAATAAACACCCATAGTGATCTAAATAGACTTGGCCAACATAGCTGTGTGCCAGAACTTTTAAATATTGCTTTTTTGGCTTTCTTCCACTGTTTTTTTTCCTCATTAATTTTCTTTTTTTTTTTTTTTTCCCTGCTACTCTATTATAAAAAGATCTTGAGGTGAATGAAATAAATCCATCAAGCCAGCAGAAAAAAAAATCTCTTGTTCTCCTTTATTCCTTTCACAGTCGTTTTGGAGAAACCAATGAATGTTAACAGTGTTTTTAATACCCACATACATATATATGCACTTATGTTCTTAAGCCCCTGTGAGTTATTTGTAGCTTAAAGTGCTAGGCAAGAGAGCCCTGGGTCACTCTAGAACAGCAGGCTGGAAATATTGCAGCATCATCAGAGTTGTTTATTTTTTAAATACGAGGGGGGTTATTTCTGTTCCTAAAGCAAATAATACAATCTCTACAGTAGTCCCACTGTCATTTTATTTGATTTTATATTGAATTTCTGTCAGGCTACCATTAAATTTAATGTAAATGCCTAACTACTTTACCTTTATGATAGGAAAAAATATTTTGAAAGTACTGAATTGTGTTGGCATGGAAATGATTATATTACATCACTGGGAGAAATAAGGCAGGTCATAAAATTTTTGGTTTGTACCTTTCTCTATCCATTTATTGGGATCTCCAGTGCTATATTGTGATAGAAAGTCAACAAATTTATGGTTGCTATATATTATTCTGTGTTCTTATCTGTGTTTCTAGTCCTTTAATCAAGTGTGAGGCTCCCTTACCCTCCCCCTCCAAAAAAAAAAAAAAAAAAAAAAAGAGAGAAAAAAGCAGGGGGAAAAAAGTTGTTGATGAAATAAAATAAAATCTTGGCATATCATGAAAAAAGTAACATTCAAGAAAACCCTCAAGTAACCACGTTCAGAACTGATGATATAGACTTTTTTGTACAGCTCCTTTTTTGCCTGAGAATTCATGGCTACAATGCAGCATTAGGTCACAGCTTCGAAAAAGGACTAAACATTCACCCAGACAACACACAGACAACAAAATTACCTAGTCTTTTACTCTAAATGGTAACTATTTTTAGCATATGTAGCCTCCTTTTGCCTTAAATGTCTTCTATAACAAACGTAACTGGAAAGAAACTTCAGAGTGTGTCCCATACTGCTCTTTACAGGCTTTTGAAGAAGGGGAAAGTTGAGGTCCTTTGATGCAATGTGTTTTGGAAATTGTTGGTGCTGCAGTAGCTGAAAGAATGGACATCCTTCCTGGCTAATATAGTCAATATTATATCTTATATCTATCTTCAGTAGAAGAAAGAGCTATTCAGACCAAGTTTCACATTACAAGATGTACCCTTCTTCCTCCCATACCTCTAAGTCTTGCCATTGCACTAAGATTAGTCTTATTCAAATAATTAACTGAGAGTAAGAATACCAGATAACAAAAGGTTCACAATGGTCTGACCTCACTGGACTTCATGACTCCAAAAAGTGGGTACAGGAAAGCAGGAACTAAGGCTGCTGCACCAAGAGGTACAGCTTCGGAGACCCAGTACACGGCCGTCACGATCAGCACGTAGGCACATGAGGCTTCCTGCAGGGACAAGGCACAGAGGTTACGTGTTACTGCCCCACCAGCAGCTGTGGAGGCTTTGTGAACAAAGCTGTGAACTTGTTCGTAGGATTCATCAGACTGTAGGTGCCTGTATTTAAAAAAAAAAAAAAATCAAAAAGGACCGTATTAGGACCTCCTGAA